GCCCAGGCCTGGAAGCCCGTCCAGCCCCGCCCCGGCCCGGCCCGCCCCTCCGGGCGCACGGACGCGCAGCGCCCCCTGCCCGCCGCCGAGAGGGGGAGTGAGGGCAGCGGTGTGGCCCGACTACCCGACTCGCGCGGCGCGGCCGGGCGGTGCGTTCAGACCACGTGGGCGCAGGGGTGCACGCGAGGGACCGTGTCCCGCGTTAGTCCTCTGCGGATGGACGTCCCTGAAAAGCCGAGTGTGCGCGCGTCCGCCCTCGCCCGGCTGGGTGCGTCTACGCCGCCCAACTTGTTCATCCATTCATTCCGGAGTCTCAGGAACTGCCGAGGGCACTGCCGGAACGCGGTGGGTCCCCAGCCAGGATGGTGAAAAGGACAGGTAGAAGTGAGGAAGCAGAGCAGCCTGACGCTCTTTACATTGTTCGGAGTGTACTTGGTAGAGCTGCTTTGGAAAACTGGCAGCTTTCGCGTAGAGCTGAGCATACGCCAGCCCTGACCCAGCTATTCCACTGACTTGTCAACACCCAACAAAAGAAAAGCATAGGTATGACATCAAGAAATGTGCGCTGGAAAGTTTGTAGCCCTTCTCACAACAGCACCAGCTTGGAAGCAACCCATCAACAGAATGGAAAACTATGGACACAGACACCACCAGAATGACCAAAGTGCTGCTATATATACCCAATAGTGGGGACAAATCTTGGAGCAAATGTTGAGTAAAAGAGGCCAAATGTGGCAGCATACATTACATAATTCTACTTATATAAATTCAAAACCAAACCAAACCAATGTGTGGTGTGAGAAATAGGACAGTGGTCACCCTTGGAACTGGAAGAAGAAATGAAGGGGACTTCTGTCATGCTCTCTTTTATAATCTGGTGCTTAACCATATATATTTATTCTGTGAAAATCTGTCAAGTTGTACACTTTGATGTGTGTAACTTTCCTTTTGTATGTTACAGTTTAGTTAAAATTTTGCTTGAAAGCAGGCATGGTGGTGCGAGCCTTTAATCCCAGCACTCCAGAGGCAGATCTCTGTGAAATTGAGACCAGCCTGGGACTACCCTGTTTCAAAAAAGAGTTTACTTGAGCCAGGTATGGTGGCACACGCCTTTAATACCAGCACTCAGGAGGCAGAGGCAGGGAGATCTCAGTGAGTTCAAGGCCACCCTGGTCTACATAGTGAGTTCCAGGACAGCTGGGGCTACAGAGAGACCCTGTCTCAAAAAGACCAAAAGAAAAAAAAAAAAGTTCACTTGAAGAAAACGAGGGCTAACAAAATGGCTCAGCAGGTAAAGGCACAAGCCCCCAAGTCTGATGACCTGAGTTCAGTCCCTGGGGCCCACATGGTAGAAGGAGAGAACCAACTCCCACAAATTGTCCTCTTACCCCCATGTGTGCACTATGGCATGAGAGCACACACACACATATATACACACACATATAAAATATGTGTAATTTATAATTTTTATTTTATGTGTATGAATGCATTGCCTGCATGTATGAAGTGCACCCATGTTGTGCAATGCCTGCAGAGATCAGAAGAGGGCATCAGGTACCCTAGAACTGGAGTTGGAATGGTTGTTAGCCACCTTGTGGGTGCTGGGAACTGAACCCGAGTCCTCTGCAAGAGCAGCCAGTGCTGTTAACCACTGAGCCATCTCTCCAGCCCCTGAATGTAATTTAAAAAAAAAAAAGAAAAAAGAAAGAAAGAAAATGGTATGGAAGACATGACTCAGCAGTTAAGAACTATTGCTGGGTTTTCTTGGTTTTGTTTTTAATGTGTATGAGTATATTGCCTTCATGTATGTGAGTGCACCCGTGTCATGCAATGCTGCAGAGGTCAGAAGAGGGTGTCGGATTCCCCTGGAACTGGAGTTAAGGACAACTCCTAGCCGCCATGTGGGTGCTGGGAATCGAACCCAGGTCCTCTGTAAGAGCAGTCAGTGCTCTTAACTTCTGAGCCCCCTATTGCTGGTCTTACAGAGGACAGGACTTTGATTCTCAGTATCCAGGTAGGTGGGGCAGCTCACAACTCCCTGTAACTCCAGCTCCAGGGGATCTAACACCCTCTCTGGCCTCCCCAGGCACTTGTACTCATTTGTACACACCCCCCACACAGGCACACACACACATACACATAAATAAAAGGAAAATTAGTGTATATTGGTTTACTTATTTGAAGCTGGCCAATCAGTAGATTAGACCATGTCTGTTATGCTGTGTGTGTGTTTCAGAGATGTGTCTGTGTGTTTTGGTGTGATCATGCCCACCATATCTGACAGCATTTCTGAGGGCTTTTTTGTTGGTGTTTGTGTTGTTTTGTTTTTGTTTGAGACAGGGTCTCCCTGTAGCTCCACCTGGCCTGGAACTCACTATGTAGACCAGGTTGGCCTCAAACTCACAGAGATCAGCCTGCCTCTGCCTCCACAGTGCTGAGATTAAAGATATGTGCCACCATGCCCAGTTTCTGACAGCCAAATTGTAAGAGGTAAAACCTTGGGCAAGTCATTTGTCTCTATGCCTCATCTATAACATGGAAGAAAGTCACTGTACATCTACCACTAAGGACTGTGTCTGACATACAGTGAGAACCCAATAGTGTATAGTTGTGTCCACTGCTGACAGTCTGGCTTTAAGTATACCTGTTATGGCCTCTGCCAGTGAAATCCTTTGTTCTGATAGTTTGCTCATGGTCGCATCCTCACACAAGCCCCTGTCCCTTTGCTTGCTCACAAACTCCATGACCTGTTTATGGTCCCCTCTATCACACTGTTAGCTCCTTGGATTTGATTCTCACTGTGTCAGAGCCCAAGACAGTAGGTAGAGGTAAGTCCAGTCCTTTCAGTGTCTATGCCAGTGAATGAATTGCTGTTTGAGTGTGACCTGTCTGAAGCTTGCTCTCACCCTTGTGAGAGCATCTTGTGGATTCCTCAACACTTAAGTAGATGCATGTGTGTGAGGGGTCTGTTACTGGGCCTGGCAAGGTGAGGTGAAGTGCTGTCTGTCTCCCTCCTAGTAGGTGTGAGAAGGAAGGTGGAAGGCATCTAAGATAAGATAGGTCAGGAGGTGAGTGACTTAGGTGTGCCCCAAGTTAGACAGGGCTGTCTGTGGCCCATCTCTCTCACTGGGCCTGGCCCCGAAGGTGGGCCTGCCTGCATTCCTATCCTGACAGCCCCAAAGCTGTCCTCTCCTGTTGCCCAGCTCTCCCTTCAAAAGAGCCCTGTGTCAAGCTTTACCTCAGGTCGGAGCCTGAATCTCCACCTCCCAGCCAGACACAGGGCTGCTTTAAAAGCCCAAGGTCCCACTGACTGTGCCAACACCTGCCTCTTCCTCAGGCGGGTTACTGAGCTCAGGGCCAAGGAATCTTGCCTGAAAGTAGTGGTGGGGGAGGAAATGTTTGGGGTCTGGGCTATGATTGGAGGAGACCGGGCCACGCCCTCATCCCTCTCCCCTTTCTCCCCCCTCCCCCTAGGAAGGGGGGTGTGGAGGGAACCGGGATCAGCCGGGGGCCAGCATGAGCCAGAGGGAGGGAAATCTGGGTAAGGGACTGAGGAACTGGATTTTGGGTCCCCAAAGGGAACAGGAGTCAGTGGGGTGGGAAGCTGGGGTCTGGGTCTCTGCCACTACCACATAGCCCGGGTCTGAGAGGGGAGAGGCCTGGGCGGGGGACAGCAGACTCCGGTGTCAGGTAACAAGTGGGTGAGTGGGGAGAAAGGGCAGGCCCAGGGTTTTAGCGGAGGCCTAGGCTTGAGGCTTCAGGGGCTTGGGCTCAGGTGTTAGGTCACCGAGTACCTCGGTGAGTACACCCTGAGGAAGGGCTGGGGTCGGGCTGGTGCAGGTACTTAGAACAGTACTGAGAAAGAATCGGATAGGAGAGGGAGAGGGAGAGTTCGGGAAGGGAATCTGATCCATAGGCATAGAGTGTCAACAGGAGGCGAAAGTCCAGGCTGCTGAGATCCCGGAGAGCGGTGGGAAACACAGACGGAAGGGGCAGTTGCCGGGTCAGAACTACATTCCCCAGCATGCATTGGGGCGCCCACACTGTGCATCTTGGGAAATGTAATCCTCTTCCTGTGGCGCCACCCTACGGTTTGTACCAGAGTAGGCTGGTCTGAAATCCATTGATGCAGGTCAATCTAGCGTCTCTCATAGAAGGGACATTAGGAAGGGACTGGGGTTTCGGTCTCTCTGTCTGTAAACTGGGCCTTAAACGCACATTCCAGTTTGAAGTTTTGTACTTCAGTGATGCTGAATTCCACCAATAGTCATAAAAGTCCATACATATGTTAACCTTGTCGTAAAAGGTCTTAAAAGATAAAGCAGATTCACACAGGCAAAAAAGCTACCTTGGAAGTATAAATAAACATCCTAAAGTCGAAGGAAAAAGTTGATTTAAGGGTAGGGGGGATCTGGAGGCTGCATAGGATTTCATCTGTGATTTGGGGACAAGAGAGACATTTCAGGTAGAGAAACTGCTTGAAAAGGTCTGGTGCCTCTCTTTCCATCCGTTGGAATGGGACAGATTCTGTCTGGTTTGAATGTTAGCGCATCCATCCAGAGCAGAGCCTTCTGGGTTCAGGAAGAAAGAACCAGCCTTGGAGAGGCGGTTCAGGAATGGGGCTTGGGCTGCCAATATTCCCCCTCTTTCCTACCAGAAGACCCCCAGTCTGACTCCTCAGTCTCACTCCTTCCCCACTTGGAGGCCAAGATTCGCCAGACACACAGCCTTGCCCGCCTCCTGACCAAATATGCTGAGCAGCTGCTGGAGGAATATGTGAGTGGGAATGGGGGTCTGGGCTCTGGAAGGGGGAAACACAGATCACAGAGGTCTTCAACCACCCATTTCTTCCACTGTGTTCTCAGCTGTGGAAATCACAGTTCCCAAGGGGAACATTAGCTTTCTCTTGGCCACACAGCAAATCAGAGAACCCTGTGAACTTGGAGGCTCCATTTTTGGTACTGGAAATGAAAGGCCAGTCTGACTGGTCTGGAGTTCGGAAGTCTAGATTTGGACTTGGTGTGATCTTCTTGCCTCACTTCTATGGGCTCTAAAATAAAGCAGGTGGACAATATGAACTGTGAACACTTCCACTTGGCAACATTCAGAGAGGCCAAGAAAGGGTTTCAATCTGGGACAAAAATTCTATCCTATGAGGGGACTTTCAAAGAAGAAAGAGATCTGCCAGCAGTTGGATGGGCCAAGGACCCTGTCCTGGCCACATAAAAAAGATTCCTCTAAATTATCTTGGTATAGTGAAAGAAGGCTACAGTTTTGATTCAGACAGACTGTAGGGCTGCCAGCTTGTGACCTTGGGCAGTGATGATAACATTAAAAATAGTAATGTAACAAGTATGGTGGTGGACAGAAGGATAATACAGCTAGCTTTTTGGACCTACCAACTTTGGTTCAAATTCCAGCTCTGCCACTTCCTGAGTGAATAACCTAAGGCAAGTGGCAAGTCACTGTTTGTACTCAGCCCAGTTTTCGTCCTTCCTTCCTTTTTTTTTTCTTTTTTTTCCATTTTATTAAGAGAGAGAGAGAGAGAGAGAGAGAGAGAGAGAGAGAGAGAGAGAGAGAGAGAGAGAGAGAGAGTCTGAAGAAAACTTGGGTTGTCAGGGCCAGGAATAGTGCCACACTCCTTTAATCCCAGGAGGCAAAGACAGGCAAATCTCTACAAGTTCAAAATTGGCCTGGTCTGCATAGTGAGTTATAGGCCAGCCAGGGTTATGTGGTGAGACCCTGTCTCAAAAAAACAAAACAAAACAGGCACACCCTTAGGTTGTCAAGTGGGTGGCAGGTGCCTTTCTCACTGTGTAATCCTGGCTGGTCTGGAACTTGCTATGTAGACCAGGCTGGCCTCCAACTCACAGAGCTCTACCTGCTTCTGCCTCCCTAGTGCTGGGATTAAAGGGATATGCCACCATGTCCAGCCCAATTTTCTTATTTACAAAGCTACTATCATCATCATCATACCCATTTTTAGGAAATACATTCAAAGCAGCAACCACAGTGCCTGCACCAGAAGCAGGATACTTGCAAACAACAAATTGCTTTTATCTTTCATTTGTTCGGTCATATGACAATTGTTGCATTAAGAAGGAGGGAATGAGATTGACTGGGGAGGAGGAAGGGAATTTGAGGAGGAAGGAGTGGGATTGCCTGCTTCCCTGCACTGTTTCTGAAGGTCTCAGGAGACCTCTGATAGGAAGGACAGGGAGTGTTCTTTAACTTGACAGATAAGACAAGCTGAAAGAAAAAGGAAATGGTTTTGCAGGAAAAGTCACAGCTACTAAGTGGCATAGACAGGATTTAAATCTAGGTCTGAGGCCAATGAGACAGGTCAGGGGGTAAAGACTCTTGTTGGACAAGCCTGGAGACCAGAATTTGATCCCCAGAACCCACATAATGGAAAAAGGAGAGAACCAAAAAAAAGTTGTCCTTTGAACTCCACATGTGCACTGTGGCACGTGCCAAGCCGAGCACACACACAGACACACACACACACACCAAGTGCACACGCATACACACACTCAGCTCTTACACACAAATAAGTAAATAGCTACTATTTACTGAGCCCTTTCTAGGGGCCTACACCGGTCTTAACTGCCTTACCAAGTTGATATTGTTATGAGCTGGTAGATAAGGAAACACTGTTTTGCAAAGCCCATACGTTTTTGCTTTTTGTCTCAAGCACAAGAGCTCTTTTATGAGGGATTTATCTTTGGAAGATGAGGAAACCGAGTGCCCCGGAGACGGGTGGGGGGCTGTTCCAGTAAAGGAGCACCCCGCCGGGTCCGAGGAGCCCTGCTGACCGGTGGCCATGTCTCCGCAGGTGCGCCACCAGGGAGACCCTTTTGGGCTGCCGGGCTTCTCACCCCCGAGGCTGCCGGTGGCGGGCCTGAGCGCCCCGGCTCCCACCCACGCGGGGCTGCCAGTGCGCGAGCGCCTGCGGCTGGACGCGGCGGCCTTGGATGCGCTGCCCGGGCTGCTGGACGCTGTGCGCCGCCACCAGGCGGAGCTGAACCCCAGCGCCCCGCGCCTGCTGCGGCGCCTGGAGGACGCGGCGCGCCAGGCTCGCGCGCTGGGCGCCGCTGTGGACACCGTGCTGGCTGCTCTGGGCGCTCTGGGCGCCCGTGGGCCCGGACCGGAGCCCGCCGCCGCCGCAGCTGCCACCGTTACCAACACGGCTGCGGGCATCTTCTCGGCCAAGGTGCTGGGGCTGCGCGTGTGCGGCCTCTACGGCGAGTGGGTGAGCCGCACCGAGGGCGACCTGGGCCAGCTGGTGCCCGGGGGCCTCGCCTGACCACGCTGCCCCGCGCTCTCCAGCTGCGTGCGCTCTGGAGCTATCCACGTCTGTCTGCCTTGTCCTGTCTTCCTGGCTCTCCTGGTCTCAGGGAGTGTCCTGTGCCCACCAGCTTTCTCCTGTTCTCTGCTCTCCCTTCTTGGCGTCTTTGATGTTTCCCGGACTCTGTAGCTCTTGCTCCGTCCGACCTTCATCCCCCTTCAGTCCATGTGAGTGTGTGTACCCCTAGTCTCATCTCTTATAGGTGACACTTGATTTCACTCCCTTGGTTTCTTTGTCCTTTCCCAGGCAGAGAAGTGCCTGCTGGTCCTTCGGTGGCAAGACCACCCACCTCCAGGGTAATACCCTCCTGGGCTTTCCTCTCCACTAGTTCCTTTCGTTCCTGACCTTTCTCCCTTTGATGTCCTTCCCTTTCCTGTCTCCCTACCCTAGAAACCCCATCAGTAACCCCAGTCTATGGGGGAGGAAAGGGGAGGGGGGAAGAGAGAGAAAGAGAGAGAGAGAGAGAGAGAGAGAGAGAGAGAGAGAGGACAAATAACATCTTAGAGTTTTATTTGAGAATAAATTAATTTTTGGTAAATAAATGTTTTAAAATAAAACTAAAGTTATTTGTACATACAGTTGTTGCAAATGGGGAAACAGATTTGAGGAAAATAGAATCTTTAGGGTATGGGGTGGTCCCATACATACACCCACCCAAAAAGGCACAGTACAGATAAATTCACAAAGACCCGGCCAGGGATGCCCTCTGTCAGTCCTAGACATGAGCTGGATGTCCTGAGCAGGAAATAGGCTGAGTCCTAGTAGTTGTAACTGGGAATTGGACTTCCGTGGACCAGGGAGTGAAGCTCCTTCATTTGGAAAACATAACAGAAGGCCACAGACAGAGAGGTAGATCAGGAGAGAATGGGCTCCAGCAAAAAGAGGCCCATTTGTTCAGAAAGCCATACCTTCAAACAGGACTTGAGGTAGACAGACACAGGAAGAGAAGCCTCTGGACTTCCCCAAAATTATAGGAAGGGGAAGGTCTCCAGACAAGCCCAGGAAGGAGACCAGCTGTCCTGTCCCTAGAGTGGGACATGAAGCCAGTACTACTGACTTGGTGATCCCCAAGCAGGATCCAAGGATCCCCTCCCAGATCTGGAAAGGAGGCTGTGGGACCTGCAGGCTTCCCTGGCAAAAGGAGTGAAGGTTTCCAGGAAATACTACCAAGTACATGGCACACAGGTCCATCTGCTAAGTAAAATGTCATTCCTTCTCTGTCTCAGAAATAAGGCAGAAAAGAATCCTTTGAAAGAGCAAGTGTTAGAGCTCAGACAGGAAGGCCTACCCCTCTAAGCTGGATATTTGGCCTTGAGTAGAGCCAAGTCCCTCACAGCCCGATCTGTCCAGTGACCGTATTCCCGGGTCACTATGTAGCCTCTGCATTTCCTCTCAAAGGTGGAGGCTCCAAAAGGAACAAGCCCCAGAGTATCCTCTTCTGGGGGGATAGGCAGCCCCAGGGCAGTCATGATAGCAGCCATGTTGCCCATCAGGCCTTGGGCCCTGAGTCTTGCAGCTCCTAGCTGGGTCAGCAGGATAGGACTGCCAGGGTTCAGGTCACTCTGATCATCCCCCACAAGCTGGAGGTGCTGGGTCAAGGCCAGGAAGGCTTCCTGGACACGGTTTAGCCGCTCTGCATCATCCATTGCATGCCAGATCTTGAAGGAGACTGCAGCAGGGGGCAGGCTGCTGAGCTGGAGCTCAGGTGCTGAAAAGCCAGGGTCACTAAAGGGGCTGCCCTGGTACTGGAGCTGCATGAGTAACAAAGACAGGCATAAAGGGGTTGAAGGAGTGTGGAACTCTAGGGCCACATCATCCCTCTGAGACTGGCATCTTCCCACAGAGAGCCACCACTTGCCATGTATGGATGTTCTAACAGAGCAGGGGCATATAGGCACCAGTGTGTCTTCTGGGTACCAGCTGTGCAGCACTGAATCACAAGACTCCATAGCTCCACCTGGCAGTATTGTGACTGATAGGAAGCAATACACATACGGACTCAGCACAGCATCTGACATGCAATAAGGAGGTGAAAGCCACCATTAATCAGTGGAATATATCAATGAATAGTGTAGTTACATGTTCAATCCAAGTCTGTTATTGAAATGTATAACATCCCAGTGTTTCTTATTTATAGCATTTAGTTGCTTATATTCTCACCTGCACAAACCAAGATCCACAGAACCTTGTTTTTCTTTTTCTCTACACCTGCCTCCATGTTTGTCCGCTAATCCATGGAACTTTAAGGTGTTCAGAGGGAGGAGCTATGCCATGAGTCACCTTTGCATTATACGTATCAGCATAAAGGAGCCTTGTCTTAACAAACTAACAGTACCTGTAACTATCAACTATAACCTAAAATAAGTTTATACATGGTAAGAAGATAACAATTTGGAGAAGCTGGGATTTTTTTTCCATCTTGAAAACTTGAAAACTCCCTAAATCTAAAATTTTAGGAAAACTGCGAGTATGGTATAGGTTTAAAAAGCCATTTCATAATGACTTACACTTCTCATATAAAATCTTCAAATGCATTCTTATTATTTTTTTTTTGGTTGTCTTTTTGAAACAGGGTTTTCCTGTAGCCCCAGCTGTCCTGGAACTCGCTATGTAGACCAGGCTGGCCTTGAACTCAGAGATCTGCCTGCCTCTGCCTCCCAAGTGCTGGGACTACAGGCTGTGCCACCACGCTCGGCTGGCTTTTCTTAAGACAGGGTCTATGTAACCCAGGATGGCCTTGAACATGCAGTCCTCCTTCCTCTGCTTCCTGAGTGCTGGGATGACGGGTACATGACCACATCAGACTTACACATAGAATATAGAACTTTTTCTTCTGCTTTTTTTTTAATCTTTAAATATTTATTCTGTATATGTGTGTGCACACATGCATGCAGGTGAGGGGGCTCTCTCCTTCCACCATGTGGGATCCCTAGATCCAACTTAGGTTGTTATGCTTAGTAGCACCAAGCCATCCTGCCAGCCCCTTTTTCTGGTGTTTTTATTTATTTATTTTTATTGTTGTTGTCTGTTTCTTGTTTTTTAGAAAAGCTCTCATGCAGCACAGGCTGATCTTGAACTCACCATGTAGCCAAGGATGACCTTGAACTCCTGATCCTGCAGCTTCCACCTCCCAAGGCTGAGATCACATGTGTGTGTATTGTGCACAGCTTGACACAGAATCTTTCAATTCTTTATTTTTATTTGTGTTTGTGACCCTTGGAAATCATCTGAAAGTGCAGGATTCCCTGGAACTGGAGTTACAGACTGTTGTGAGCTGCCATGTGGATGCTGGGAACCAACTGGGCCTGGATCCTCTGCAGGATCACCAAATGGTCTGAGCCATCTGTCCAGTACCCCCACATTTTCTTTTTTTGAGAGTCTCATTATGTAGCCCTGGCTGGCCTGGAATTCACACTGTAGACCAACCAGAATGGCCCCAAACTCATGGAGTTCAGACTGCCCCCAACTCCCTAGTATCAAGATTAAAGGCATGTACCACCATGCCCAGCAACACAGAATCTTTTTTAAAAAAAATATTTTATTATTTTTTAACTTTTTTCTAGATTTTATTTTTTATTTTTATGTGTATGTGTGTTGTCTGCATGTAGGTAAGTGCACCCATGTCGTGCAATGCCCTCGAAGGTCAGAAGAGCCTGTCGAATCTCCTAGGACGGGAGTTATGGACAGTTGTTAGTTGCCATGTGGGTGCTGGGATTCGAACCCAGGTCTTCTGCAAGAACAGCCAGTGTTCTTAACCACTGAGCCATCTCTCCAGCCCCTTATTTATTATTTTTATTTTATGTTTATGTATGTATTGCCTGAATGTAGGTAAGTGCACCCGTGTTGTGCAATGCCTGCGGAGGACAGAAGAGACTGTCGGATCCCCTGGAATTGGAGTTATGGACAGTTGTTAGCTGCCAATTAGGTGCTGGGATTCAAACCCCGGTCTTCTGTAAGAACAGTCGGTGTTCTTAACTGCTGAGCCATCACTCCAGTCCCAACACAGAATCTTAATACACATTAATAGACCTAGTGCATAGATCACCTAGTCTCATATCCCCATTTTACAGGTAGAGAAACTGAGGCTTAGGGTGTACGTGGCTTTGCAAAGAATAGTGGTAGATATGGGACTAGAACCTAAATTTTGTGAACACATTGACACAATGTACAATAGAGTGGAAGAACTGCAAACCTCAGGGTCTCAGGACCAGGCAGATATGTGCTTTCAGAAGGAACAGGTCTGAGATAGAGTTTGGGCCCATGGGAACCCCACTCCTGCTTTAGACAGAAGTTCATACTCAGAATGGAAACCAAGACCACATGGGCCAAATAAAAAACATTCATGAGTCAGCGAGTACGCTGCCAGGTTTAGAGCAAATAGGGGAAAATGGGTATGGGGCTTATGGAGCAGCGTTCCACAGATGTGGTTTCACTTACTGGCACTGCCGGTTACTACCTCAGTGCCCTCAGGCCAATTATCTACCTCCCCTAAGAGTCCGTTTTTTTCATCTTTAATATGGATTTTAGTTCCACCTCTCAGAAGAGTGGAATCATCCCTCCTCCATTCATAAAACAATGTGAATGGAGCACCCAGCATGGCATAGGGCTCAAGTGAGCACATGGCATGAGTCTGGAATTATGACTGCCTAAAGCTTTTCCTTCTTGGGGCTTCCTATGTACTGTGTAACAGGGAGCAAAGGCAGGATCACAGCTTTACAATTGAGGAAGCCAAGGCCAAGGGAGGAGGGATGATCAGCCCAACATCACCCAGCCATCCGTGACAACACTCAAATGAGTGTGTCTCTGTCAAGAGCCCCTGTCCCCTCAGGCTCACAGACAGGTCTGGACTTGCTCTGCTCCCCCTACCCAGGTCAGCACCTCCTCCCCAGCCCCCTGCATGCCCAGTGTCACTCACATACGTCTGTAGCAATGTCGAGGTGTTCTTCTGCATATAGAGGGCCAGACTATAGGCTTGACTGATGGGCTCTGATGGGGAGATGGGGGCTGCAGGACTGAGGGGTGGCAGCAACAGGCTCAGTAGGCAGAGAGGGGCTGGTGGAGGACATCAGAGGGTCAGCACCAAGTCCCTGACCCTCTGCCGATTAATCATTCATTCATTCCAACAGTCTTTCAAAGGGTACAGCTCTTGTGGCCTGTGATATCTTATCTATTCAAGTCAAGGCAGAAATTTGGTAAGCAGAACTACTTAGAACACCACTTGAACTTTTCTTGAACACCAGACTCCTGTATTGTTTTGTTTTTGTTTTGTATATGTCACTAGACTAGCTTAGAACTCAATTATCTTGCCATTGCCTCCCCAGTGCTAGAATTACAGGTCAGTACCACCTTGCCCAGCTGTGCAAGTGTTTCTTCATCTGAACACTCATTACAAGGGTATACTCCCTTTGTCAAAATCCATGCAGCAGCCGGTCATGGTGGTGCATGCCTTTAATCCCAAGCACTGAGGAGACAGAGGCAGGCAGATCTCAGAGATTGAGGCCAGCCTGGTTACATAGCAAGTTCCAGGCCAGCT